TTGGCTGTTAGCACTGGAAATGAGAGTTATTTCAGCTATGACATTTTTGTTTAGACTGGACGTGTATGTGTGGGGCAGTGGGGGGAATAAAGGATTTAGTCACAGCATGTGTGTGTGTGTGCCTTTTTGTGTCCACATGCACAAGCTCAGCTGTGTGAGTGCTCAAACCATTAAAGACTATACCTACAGCTTCCTTCTTTGGCATTTGTCTTGGTTTACAATATTGTCCAAATGGCCTCAGACCCGTCCACAGGCCATTCACTATTTTCAGGGTTTATTTGCTTTTCCTTAAGTTGAGCGGTTTAGTGAGTGAGGTGGACAGGAAATGAGGGAGGGGGCGCATAGTGACACTGCGGAAGAAAGGAGGTGAGTGGTGGATGAGTTGCCACTGGGTGGGTAGGCTCACTGCCACAAACACAGGCGTTTGTGTGTGTGTGTGTGTGTGTGTGTGTGTGTGTGTGTGTATGAGTATGAGTATGTGATGCCCAGCAGTGCACATACATGCAAGCGCATACACATGCACATATCATCTCAGCATGTGAACAGTGAAGGAAAGTATGCAAAGTGACAGGTTGCTTATGCATCATGTTGATGATCATCAGTCTCACCTCATCCTCTGTCTTTCTATCTTCCCTTCCTCTCTTTCACATTTTATTCCCCCTTTGTTCTTTTTTTCTTTTTTATGATGTGTGAAATGTCTTTGCATTATGTTTGCATGACATTTAACACCTGTTTGGACTGTTTAGAGCTCCTTTTAAGAATGCAGCTTCTAGTCTGTCTTCTCTAAATTAAGAAAGTAATGAACTTTCTTCAGTCCAGATGACACTGTGGGATATTTATTCAACATGCCAAAAATTTCAGCTAAATTCTGACATCCCTTTTTTTGACATTCTTCAAGATATGATCCGTGAGTGTGTGTGTGTGTGTGTGTGTGTGTGTGTGTGTGTAATCAGAGAAGAGGCAGATGAAGAGGCGTCAGACATATTAACTGACAGATGGAGGTTGATCCAACTCATTTATTACCCCAGAGGAGAATGCCACAGTGAGATTGGGCTTCATTAATTTCAGATTTAGTTTTCATTTCAAGCTGTTGCGCCCTGAGATAAATAAAATGGCGCATTATGTTTTTGCCAAGATATTTCTTTTTTGTTTTCCTCCAATAGAAGGAGTTAAAAGAGGGGAGGCATAAGTTCCATGTGGCTGGGGTAGTATATAAATACAGGCTCGCCTAGAGGAAAATAACACCTCAACGGTTGATGAGGTGAAATGGGATGACTGTAATTTCTCAGCTCAGCTTTAAAGGCTCCCACACAGATGGCTCATTTATCCCTGGGAGTCCTCGGGCACACATAGCAGGGAAACTTTTTCTCCAGTTATTCTAACATAGCATGTTCACTCCTTGCAATTTTACTCATCTCTTTCTTTCTCCCTTTGTCTCCATTCTCCTTGCAGCCTATTCTCCCAAGGAGCTGACAGAGCACACTGTGGAGGATGAGGAGGCGGAAGCAGATGACCTGCCCTCGGCCCCTCAGGATGACCTTTCCATGAAAGATGAGTTTGTGGAGCAAAGCACAGTACCTGCCAAGGAGCAGCCATGTGACCAGGAATTAGCTGGGGCCGTGGAGCTGTCAGGACAGGAGATGGACAGTGAGTCACATGTGAGCGAGACCAGCGACCATCTCTCAGACTTTGAGAGCCCCTCCAGAAAAGCTGAGGGCAACTTGATCACAGCAACTCTGAACGGTGGGACTCGAACACCACCCTTGGGAATGGACACTTTAGAACAAATGAAGGCTATCTACTCCAGCTTCCTGACTGGCCCCTTGTGGTCACCGCTGAACTTTAATTCCACACCACCACAGACACAGTTGTCAGCTTCTACAGAGAAACCAACTCGCAGCAACAGCACCAGTAGCAGTAGTAGCTGCAGCAGCAGTAGCTATGACTGGCACCAGACTGCAGTGGCAAAGACACTTCAACAGCATCCTCCCCAGAGCCGTCACCCTGCTCAGTCTGAGCCCAGCCTCTTTAGTACAGTCCAGCTCCACAGGCAGAACCCAAAGCTGTTCGGCTCAATCTTTACAGGGGCCAGTAAATTTCGCTGTAAGGGCTGTAGTGCTGCTTATGACACACTGGTGGAGCTGACAGTGCACATGAATGACACAGGCCACTACCGTGATGACAACCAGGACAGGGCAGGCAGTGGTGCAAAGCGCTGGTCTAAACCACGCAAGAGATCCCTGTTGGAGATGGAGGGCAAGGAGGATGCCCAGAAAGTTTTGAAATGTATGTATTGTGGTCACTCCTTCGAATCCCTGCAGGACCTTAGTGTCCACATGATCAAAACCAAACACTACCAGAAAGTGCCTCTGAAGGAGCCCATGGCCCCTGTGGCAACCAAAATCATGTCTTCTAAGAAAAGGGGGCTCATGGGCTTGGACCTCACCGCCTCCCCACATCCTAGAGAAGGAACCACCAAAGCTAAGCACCTACTGACAGACCTGAGTGACTCATCTCAGAAACCTTCCTCCAGCCCCTACACCATCCCTAATAACCGCTTCAGCCACCAGAATGGAGCCAGCTATGCTTGGCAGTTCGAATCCAACAAATTCCAGATCCTTAAGTGTATGGAGTGTGGGAGTTCTCATAATACGCTACAGGAGCTGAGAACCCACATGATGGTGACAGGACACTTCCTCAGGGTGACCAGCTCTGTGGGGAAAAAAATCAAAACACTTCCTGAGGCTACCTCCCCCAACCCTCGGAGGGTTACCACACCTACTGAACAGAGGGTCCAGTCTGTCCCACTTGCACCCTCCACCTTCTCTACTCCACCTCTGCAGACTACCACAACCCCCCCTGCCATATCCCCTCATTCCAAAGAGATCAAGAAGGAAGAGGTTGAGGAGGAGTGCACTAAGCAAGAGGCTGCTAGAAATGAAAAGCAATTTACCGTTTCTGATGGGAAGGAGGAGGATGCGGAGAAGGAGGAAAAATACGACATCTCAAAGTATAACTATCTTACTGAAGAGGACCTGAAAGAGAGCCCTAAAGGGGGCCTAGATATTCTCAAATCACTGGAAAACACTGTGACATCAGCCATCAACAAGGCACAGAGTGGGAATCCATGCTGGGGGGGGTACCCTAGCATCCATGCAGCCTACCAGTTCCCCAATGCCCTCAAGCTCCAGCAGGGCAGCATGGAAAAGACTTCCCCAATGAAGTTCTTGTTTAGTGGAGGGAATGGAACATTGTCCTCCCATGCCAAGAATCAACCCCTCATTTCCCCACCACTTAGTCAGTCCTCCCCCTTCCCCAGCAACAACTTCCAGGCAATGGAGGAATTGGTGAAAAAAGTGACAGAAAAAGTAGCAAAAGTAGAGCAAAGAGTGAAACAGTTGTCTCCTAAGAGGGAGAACCATCTTTCCCCTTGTAGCAGTGAAGCTGGAGAACTGCATAAGGGAGGAGAGGCAGACTCACCTCGGGAATGGAGAGCAGTGACCCCAGTCAATAGCGACAGAGGAAGCCATAGCGACAGAGCATCCCCAGCAACAGAACCCAAGAGAGAGACAGCAGTCAAATCCCCGCTTGCCTCTACACTCAGCTGCAGTACCGCCATTATCACTGGCCATACTCCTCTAGAACAGCCCTTTGTCAACCCTTTAAGTGCTCTTCAGTCAGTAATGAACATTCATTTGGGGAAAGCAGCCAAGCCCTCCTTGCCAAACCAAGATCCCTTGAGCCTCCTCTCCAGGCTCAGCCAGAGTATGGCTGAGAGGGCGGCTGTGGCTGCTCCTCCCTCACAGACCAAAAAGCTGGATAGTGGAGTTGATAATAGTTTTTGCCAGCCAAATGATGACCAGCCCATGGACCTCACAAAGGGGAAAAGTGAAAGAGGATGCTCTGTAGGCTCAGCCCCACTAACTCCCTCATCCACAGCCTCCTCCGTCTCTCCCTCCTCTCTTGTTACTCCTGCAAAGCTAACAGTGGTCTCTCCCTACCCGTCCAGCAGCCCTCTACATGAAAATGCACTCTCAGATATCTCAGACATGCTAAGGAACCTGACGCAGACCCACCATGTCCCTAAACCTTCCTCCCGATCCAGGGTCCCAGATAAAACTGAGGTTGTGGGAGCCACTCCTGATGATGATGATGTGTCCCTGCATGGCCACAAACGCAAAGGCCGTCACTCCAACTGGAACCCCCAGCACCTTCTCCTTCTTCAGGCCCAGTTCGCCTCAAGCCTGAGGCAGACCTCAGAGGGGAAATATATCATTAATGACCTCAGCCCACAGGAAAGAATGCATGTCTCTCGTTTCACAGGTCTCTCTATGACCACCATCAGCCACTGGCTGGCCAACGTCAAGTACCAGCTAAGGAGAACAGGCAGAACCAAGTTCCTAAAGAACCTGGACTCTGGTCAGCCTGTATTCTTCTGTAGTGACTGTGCCTCACAGATACGGACCCCAGCAGCATACGTATGCCATTTGGAAGCCCACCTCGGGTTCAGAATCAGAGACCTGTCCAAGCTGTCCCCCAAACAGACTGCCAGGGACTCCCACACTCTCACTGAGAAACTAGTGCCCCTGGAGTCTTTCCCTTCTCCACAGTCACAAGATGACTGCAGTAGTAATGGGGCAGTATACCGCTGCCAGCTCTGTGTCCGTAAATTTGCCACTAAGCATGCAATCAAGCTTCACCTCAGCAAGAGCCATGGGAAGTCTCCAGAGGACCATCTGCTATATGTGTGTGAAATAGAGAAACACTAAATTTCTGTCTGCAGTAGGCATACTTGCAAACATATGTAAAATATAAACAAAAAATAGAGAATATTTGAAAGATATGGTGATGCACAGACGCCATGAACTCCTCTTAAAAATGTCAGCACAAGGTGTTTACATCTGTTCGGCCTATAAACATTTCAGTTTCAAATGACATTTATTTCACATCAGAATATACTGTAGGTCAAAGCTGTTCTGCCCGATTTGTTGTCAGCATTGTCCCTCTCGCTCTACTTTGGTAATGTGAGACAACACCCGTTCATGATCATGGCGACTCTTTTGACTAGAAAGTAAACTAATAACTTGAAATATAATAACTTTATTGTATTTATTTTGGATTTTTGTGATTTTGGTTTTGTTGTTAGATTGCATGTTTTAAACACGTTTTACTGTTACCTTTGTACAGTCCTGTCCTGTCCAGATTTTCAATTGCCATTTTAAACTGGTTATTTTTTACACCTTAAAGCAGCCAAATGCCTGGGAAAGCTCCTTAAACAAACAGCAAAAGTTCATTGCTTGTTTTTTTTTATAGTTTTCTCTGTACAGCCTATTGATTTTCTTGCTGATTGTAAAAGCTGCCTTGTTCTTTGTCACTCAGTAAGGGGCACTTAAAATCCAGGTTTGTGTAAAAATGTACATATAGTGTATAAGCTTCCAACTTGCTGTTTAAATTATGCATACTTGTTATATTTCCTAATTTAAGAGGACTATGACTATCCACTGGTGCAGAGCCTTTGAAGAAGACTAAAAGAACATTGTTTTGCACAATAGTTTTATAAATGTTATTTCATAAAAAAGTACAAATATGTTAATGCCTTGTGCTTCTATGATTAAATTGATTTAACTGCTGCATAAAACATTTGGCTTCTTTCATATTTAGCAGTCAGAGACTTAAAATTAACTGAGTATTTCAGCAAATGATATTTAAAAGCAGTTGTTTTAATGAGATAACTGACAATCACAGTTTTGTCCACTATGTAATTTCTAAGATGTTATCGAATTCTTTATCTGGTTTACTGGAAAATCATGCATCTTTGGAAAAAAAAAACTCACCCTTTCCAATTGTTGTCCCACATTGTAATGACTAAGCATTTACAAATCAGCTGACAGATTGCTCACAAGCCTACATCTGCAGAAACCCTGAATAGAACTTAAAAACCTTCAGCATTTTCTCCCCGCGGTTGTCTTCACAACCACAGTTTGTCTAGATATTACTGTTGATTTCTGTGTTGTCGCATTGTTGTGGGGCAGACTCGAGAGGTGCGAGTGGTGCCGCTGCCTGCAAGGCGTCTGGCAGGTGGTGTGTGCTGCATGTAAACCACCAGATGTTTCTGAAACGAGCCACTGGAGGAGGAGGAGGCAGGCGGGCTGCAACAGCAGGCAGAGAGAGCTGATTACCACGGGGGCTTGGATGCCATCAGGAGCCCTGGGCAGAGACAGCAGATCTGGCACACACCTGGATTCCAAGACTGTCCCTTGGAAAAAATAAAGCGGATCCTATATATGCACACTGAGACAATCTGACAGTGGTGCAGAATGCACAGACAGGTGCTATTCCCTCAAAGCAGGCTTTTGGATCTAACAATATTACTGGCAGGTGTTGATGCCATCAGAGTAGTCACAATTCAGGCTCAGTGCCATGTAATGAGAAAGTTTTTTTTTTCTTTAGTATGCATGATGCGCACACACACGCACACACACACATTTACTCCACAGATTTTCAACCATCTACCTTTGTCTTATTTGAAGATGCCTGGGGACACAATGTTCTTTCTGTTTGATGTTCCCAGGCTTCGCTTGTCATGACTGACTGACTGAGTGACTTGGGGCCGGGGAAGTTATCTGGTTACTATGGTGACGGCCATTTGCCCAGACTCTAACCCTGCTCGCTCACTCAACAGAGGACAGCTCGAGTGCAGCACACCCATTTACTCTCTTAAATCTCATCATCTCGCTTCAGTTCCTCCCACCCGGGAACAGATTAATTAACACACACACACTGTGTCCTGACCCCGTCTTCTCACACAAACTCATTACTGCCACAGACTTGCTCCCGGCCCGCCAACGTTTAAGATACATTGGTCTAACGTTGTGGGAGAACCCAGTGGTGACTCACATTTGACAAGCAGAATAAAGCCCATAACAAAGGATGATAATTGAAAGATGGGATTCAGACCGGTAGCCATTGATAATGCTAATGAAAAAGACTGAGCTGCCTTATTGAATATCTGGTGAATTTCCCAAGCTTACCGAGTACTTGCGGATTAAAAAAAAGATCTCTCAGCCTTGATCTTTTTATTTTCCAGCACTGTACATGTTGATGAATGCTTTAGGCTTAGTGATGGACTTGGGGTGAGGATGGTTGGGGGCGTTAATGGGATAGTTGACACTTTGGGGGTTAATGAGGAGCTGGAGGGAGACGGCTAAATGATTGGACTTCTGCTTGGATGAGCATTATGGTGGCGGTTAGATGAGAGCAATGTAGATGCTGTGAATCTTCTGTAGCCAATTATTTAGCATGAAAAAGACAAAACTCCTCTCAATTGTATTTTTCAACTATAATAAAGAGGAGATTAGATGTGTTATCCATTGTTGTATTGTCTTGACTATCCTTGAGGGCTGGGTAGTTATAGACACCGATGTGCCTCAATGCTCCTAAAACAAAGTCACCAGTGAGGGGGGAAGAAAGGAGGCGGACAGGACAGGGATAGGATAGGAGAAGAATGAGTCCCCCCACTCCTCCACTCCACAGATCTCCCATCAGCTCTTGTCATCCTTTAAATGAATATCAGTTAAATTGCTCTGTGGATCTGAGGAGTTTGGATGTCAATGTGATTTGTGTGAGTGTGGTGGATGGAGGGGCCCAGACTAATGAAAGGCGAGTCTAGCCTGACAGAGTGATGAGCATCAAGCCCATCAGACCAATCACACAAGAGCAGCTGACAGTGCCGACAGACAGACAACTGGGGAGGAGAGGCTATGTATTTAGGCAAAACAAAATGGCTGCCAAAATGGCGGTGGATGTTTTAGAACACCTTGAGATATATCCTTCTTGTCCTAGTGTGCATGTACAGTTGTGTAACCTGATACAGGTTGCACAATTACACGGTTCTGAAAATCCATAAAATGTGAAGATTTATAGAAGCTGGCTCTCGTGTTTTAATGCTTCACGTTAATCAGCAAAAGTCTTAAAAATATCAACAGGTTAAGATGATAAAATGGGTTAGCTGCTATTAAAAAGAAACAACAAATCAAATGGCCTGGCCTGACATCATCATTTTATAAACACCATGTCATTATCTACAAATAAGCTTCAAGTCTCCTGAAATTCTTGCATGCCAAAGTGTAAGATGATGTAGCCTCCATACCAAAGGTTAAATTATGTCTTGTGACAGTAGTTCAGGAGAAACAGGTAGAGCCAAGTTACCTCGGCCCTTTGGCCTGCCTAAGGTATGGATGGAGTCACACCCATCTATGTCTCCGTTTGTGCCAAACAGTGTCAACAATAATATTATTTATATACAGGTGACACAAAAAAATTGCAAACAATATCATGCAAAGATTTGTGAGAGAAAAGTGGGAAAGACATGGAGACAGAGACACCAAGACACAGAGACAGAGAGGTGAGTTTAAGGTGGTATGATTTCCAAATGTGCCTTCACTAGTGGGTGAAGGTTTTCCTGCTGCTGTGTTGCACTGTGCTGCTGCTGCCGCTGGTTTTGCCGCAGCCGCTGCCTGAGATAGCTGTCAGAGGTATTTGGGTGTGATATCTGACAGATTTGCTAAAGACACTTGTCTCAGGGCAGTACTCTATATATCGTTAGTTTAATGCACAATGACATGACCAATTATAGCGAGCTCCATGCTCAAATAGTATGTCAAAACCTGTGTATCAATCCATTAGATCCTGTCTCCCATCACATTAAGTGGTACCTTTAGCTATCTGTTCGGCATGTTAAGAAAAATGCTGACGGAATGGAAAATCAGCCTGTGCTGTTCATAGAGCTGATGTATTTTGGAGAAGGAGCCTGCCTCTCTCTCTCCCCATCTCTTCTCTCTCCTTTGTCTTTCTGTCTCTCTCTTTGCTGCTGTCTCACTCACTTGCTCATCACATCCACTGAGCACAAAATGCATAAACAATACATCTAGATAATGGCCTGTATTGTTTACTTAGCTCTGAAAATGTATTTGTGCAAAACTCTGAAATGCATTTAGGGGGAATCATTCACTCTGTGTAAAGCCTTGTTGACATTGGGGTGCTCTCAAAAGCAGGGAAGTGTCATAACAACATCATAGATCAGTGAATCAATTGGAATAAGAGGATGCAGTGTGTATTACTTGGAACAAACCAGTAGATTCGACCAGTAGCTGCTCACCCAGTATTTCTGTATCAACCTGCTTTGTCGGCCATGACAGTGTGTGGGAGGAGGTGTGTGATTTAGTGCAGTTGGTCCTAACGACCTCTCCGTCCTTGTGACGAGGACATGCAGCCTCAGGGTGCTGGCATGGAGGATGTGCCTTGGACCGCCTGGCACCTCGCCTGGCACCACGTGTGGCAACGTGTCCACACTCTGCCACCCTTCTGATGGATTGGCCTGTCTCTCGTGCCACCTTCATGAAATCACTTTTTGATTTGTTGTCATGTTTTTCTCCCTTTTTCCTGCTACTTGGGTTTTTCACGGGTAAGAACACCCTCTGGTCAGGTATTACAAGAGTGATTAAATTAACCTTCAATAAATCAGCATAATAGAGCATTACCTGTGAGTGTGTGTGCGTGCTTGCCTGCCTGCCTAGCTGGCAGTATGAAGGTGTGTGCGATCAGGAGGTCAACCAAATGTCCATCCATGACTACGCTATGAAACACAGTTGCCCTGTGGCTGAAGCTGCTCTTTCCAACGTACCATTTCACAGGAAACACATCAATAAGGCGCGATTACAAGGCTGACAAAATTAATCTCAACTGTCATTTCACAGAGCTTGGGTTTGTGAGTGCTCTGATCAAGTTACATTAGTGGGAAGCTACTGAATGATTTGGAGTAGAATCAAAATCCATTTGACTTCCCTTCTGTTTGGCTAAGGCTTATTATCATCAGGAACCATTTCTTATCAGATACAAATGACATTTATGAATATATTTTAATGTGGGTTCCTGGATTTAATATGTATAATGCTATAAGTACAGACCTTTGTTTTATCAGCAGCTAGTGTAGGAACTGACATTTAAAGCAGAGGACCAGTAGCATGTCTTTTCCAGTGTGGCTGTACACAGGCCTGCTGTATAAACGTACATAGTCCTTTAAGTAGAGGTAGAATTGAGAACTTGTACCTAAGTAACTAACAGCAGTGTCCCATGTCAGAGTCCTGTTCTGTCAACCCATCCAACCACCCCTACCTACACACATCATATACTATGTCACATAATTGTAGAAAAATTTGAAATGTTTACTGTGTTTGGAAAAAACTAAATTTTATATGATACCAAAGGGCACTGGTAGGATGTAATTAAGTACCTTTACTGTACTCAAGAACAGTTCTTCAGTACAGCTCTGAGGTTCATGTACTTTTACTTACTGTAAGTAGTCCAGAATTTCCATTTTTATCTATCTATCTATCTATTTATCTTACTCCTTTCTATCTGTCATCCTTACTTCAGCCACTAGTGGTCACCTAATATATTATATACAGTTGAAGTCAGAAGTTTACATACACCTTAGCCAAATACATTTAAACTCAGTTTTTCACAACTCCTGACATTTAATCCTATAAACATTCCCTGTCTTAGGTCAGTTACAGTCACTACTTTATTTTAAGAATGTGAAATGTCAGTAATAGTAGAGAAAAAGAT